TGTATGTAAGTACATATGTAAATAAAGAATGGCCTACATCAGACACAAAATGAGAGCAAGTGGTTTAGAAATGACATTAATAAAAATTGAAGGAAAAGGGAGGAAGACCTTCAATAAGTTGATTACCGGAAGGGCACTATATGAGCTCTGAGTGATGGTCATTAACAGATCAAATTGAATACAAGAAAATAAGACCTAATCCAAATAATAGTGTGTGACGTTTCGGCAACAGCATTGTAACCATCAGGGTTACTCTTTTGTCTGATGATGGTGACAATGCTGTTGCCGAAACGTCGCACACTAATAAATTATTTGGATTAGGTCTTATTTTCTTGTATTTATAATCTACTAGCGGATGTACCCGGCTTTGCCCGGGTTTTACCAGAGTAAAGGTTTGTCTAACGAACATTTGTTAAAACAATTCTCTATAAACATAATAGATATATTTTGATAATTTGAAACTCGTAAATTTGAATCTCTCGATAAAGTGAGCATTTTTCCCCGGTCCCTGTGTGCCGTGTCATTCTGAATTTTGGCTTTCCTAATTTTCTACATTACAAAATCATCGTTTTATCTAAACATTTTTTCCCAATCCCTTGAAAAATACTCGATAAGGTTGAATAAATTCATGGTCGTTTATGGAAGATGGACAAAGTTCCCGGAGGTCATCTTGGGCAAGCTCCCGTGAGGCTTTTTTTCTTGTCTACTTGGCACAGCTGTGTCACCAACTCTGCCCTGATTGGTCGGTGGGTACTTGGACTGTCCATCCGGCCGGCGGCCGGACGAATCCATTCTCTCGACGGGGTGGGGCAGACCTAAGCCTATCTCCGTCGCAAGGTGGCGCTGCTTGCGAGTTAAAGCTACAAATCTGCAAATAACTCTAAGGATATTAAAGATATTCAAGATATTATTTTTCGAAAACCTTTCCGGGGATATGCCTAATAATATCCCAAAATTTCACGGCGATTGGATGTACGGTTTTTGAATCTATAGAGTACACACAGACAGACATTCATTTTTATATATATATAGATAATCCAAATTGTGACTTATCAGATCAAATTGGAGAATAGTTGTCACCATATAGTTACCAAAAGTTGACCTGGACTTGTTGCATGCCAACAACGACAAAAAAAAACAACAATGAAGTTGTTGTTATAAAGAAAAGGTTGCTTATCATTTATTTTTAAAAAATGTTTTTCATCCGCTTAATTTGTTTGAGTGATTTGAATTGTAAATAACCCTAATCCATACTCCTATTTGATGAAGAAACCTAGAAGAAATTTTGGTGATTATCATAAAAAAAACCTCTTCTAAATTGTGACTTTAATAGGGCACAATTTGGATTATAGATTATAAACACAAGGTAATAAGACCAAATCCAAATAAATATATAGTGTGTGACGTTTCGGTAACAATGATTGAAGATGGTAACAACGCTGTTACCGAAACGTCACACACTATTTATTTATTTAGATTTGGTCTTATTACCTTGTGTTGAAAATTGTGACTTTAAAAAGTTTATTGTTTTGTCACCATAGAGTCACCAATTTTGAACTGATGCATGCTAACAACAAATACAACAAAGTTTTTGTTATAAAAAAAAGCTGCTTATCATTGATTTAAAAAAAAAAAATTTTTTTTTCTTCCTTTTGAGTGATTGAATTGTAAATAACAAGGATCCAAAATCTTTTTTGATGAAGAAACCTAGAAGAAATTTTGATGATCATCATAAAAAAAAAAAATTTTCTAAATTGTGACTTTAAAATGTTTATTGAGTTTTTTTGCTTTTTTGGTTGTTGTTATAAAGAAAGCTGCTCTTAGACATGTACGAGGTGTGTTCAAAAAGTATCGCGACTTTTGAATTTTCGCGGGTTACGTATATTCGAATTTCAATCTTTTTGTGGCTTTATGTTGGTACTCATGTCTCTCACTTATGCCGACAAGCTCGGCCATTTTGAATGTTCACTTAATTGTTGACAGCTGCTTTGCTTGCAAGTGTTTTGGATCATCTTCGATTTTTACCTATTAAAAAAAATGGATCAAAGAACCTGTATCAAATTTTGTATGAAAAACGAAATTAAGTGCGCGGATGCATTCCGAATGTTGACTGTGGCATACGGAGAAGCTACCTTGGACCGAAGCAACGTTTATCGGTGGTACAAAATGTTCTCAGAAGGCCTAGAAGATGTGAACGACAAAGAGCGTGCCGGATGCCCGAGCACTTCAACAACAGACGAAAAAATTAATGAAGTGGAGAAAATGATATTGGCCAATCGTCGAATCACCGTTAGGGAAGTTGCTGAGGACCTAAACATATCGATTGCCTCGTGCCATTCGATTTTTATCAATGATTGGGGCATGAGACGGGTCGCTGCGAAATTCGTACCTCAATTGCGACCAAAAACAGCATCGCATGAACATTGCTAATGAGATGTTGGACTCTGTCCGCGACGACCCAAATTTGCTCCAGAGGGTCATAACTGGTGACGAAGCGTGGGTTTATGGTTATGACGTGGAAACCAAAGCTCAATCATCTCAATGGAAGCTTCCGCACGAACCAAGACCGAAAAAAGCGCGCCAAGCTCGGTCGAATGTGAAAGTTTTGCTGACAGTTTTCTTCGATTGCAGGGGCGTGGTGCATCATGAATTCTTGCCACAGGGTAGAACGTCAATAAGGAATATTACCTGCAAGTTATGCGCAATTTGCTCGAAGCAATCATCCAGAAACGCCCGGATTTGTGGAAGAACAAAAATTGGCTTTTGCACCACAATAACGCCCTTGCTCACACATCGTTGCTTGTGCGCGACTTTTTGGCCAAAAACAACACACTAATGATGCCGCAGCCACTGTATTCCCCAGATCTGGCTCCCTGTGACTTTTTCTTGTTTCCTAAACTGAAGAAGAGGCCCATGAAAGTACGACGTTACGCTACGCTTGACGAGATAAAGACAGCATCGAAGGAGGAGCTGAAAAAGATTTTAAAAAATGATTTTTTGAAGTGCTTCGAAGATTGGAAAAACCGTTGGCACAAGTGTATTATATCTCATGGGGATTACTTTGAAGGGGACAAAATAGGTATTCATGAATAAATAAATAATTTTTGAAAAAGCACAAAAGTCGCGATACTTTTTGAACACACCTCGTATCATTGATTTAAAAAAAAATTGTTCATTCACTTTTTTTTTTGCTTATCCCCAGTACACATGGTACAGGCCATGATAATCATGGTGGGTAGAGGTTGACGACTGCTTTTACTGTAAGTGCACCACATGTGAAAAGCAGTTCGACTTTGCACTTACAAATGTACCAGAGCCCCGTTTGGTTACTTGCACTCGCTGGTGGGATTGGACTTCATCCACTTGATTTGTTTGAGTGATTGAATTGAAAATAACACGGGTCCAAACTTCAAACAACAATCGTCCAACTTGTGACTTTAAATTGTTTATTGATATGGCACAATTTGGATTATAGATTATAAACACAAGGTAATAAGACCAAATCTAAATAAATAAATAGTGTGTGACTTTTCGGTAACAGCGTTGTTACTATCTTCAGACAAAAGTACTGAAAACTGAAGATGGTAACAACGCTGTTACCGAAACCTCGTACAGTATTTATTTGGATTTGGTCTTATTACCTTGTGTTTAAATTGTTTATTGAAATTTCTAATTAATTAATTCATTTTAAATCTCCACCTTCTTGATTAACTTGAATTTCAATGGAATTGGAAATACTATTTTTTTTTTTGCTTATCCCTAGTACACGTGGTACAGGCCATGATAATCATGGTGGGTAGTTAGCGACTGCTTTTACTGTAAGCGCACCACATGTCTACACATGTGAAAAGCAGTTCGACTTTGCACTTACAAATGCCAGAGCCCCGTTTGGTTACTTGCACTCGCTGGTGGGGTTGGACTTTTGCAAGAATCGGGGGCCATTGGAGCATTTTTTTTCTTTAA